TCGAAGTAAACGAATGCTGAAATTTCTGATGATGAATTGGACAAAAAACTGCGTGTTTTTCAAAGTCATTGAGCATAATTAAAATTCTGCATTCATGAAAATAATGCATTCTACATTATTTTCATGCTATGAGAATCATTAAAAGTACATAAAAAACATGCCAATAAAAGCGTTACATTTGAGAGTGTGTGTGAGTGCGAGCAATAAGAAGGTCCACACCTACATTCTGATGAATGCGCCATATCTAAACATTGGTTTGTGATTTTTTGAATAATGTTTCGTCGCCCCATAGTTCTTAAATATCAATGGATCGATTTGTATGTCGTGTCATCCATGATAGACTGTTGCCCGACGAGGCTTATCATCAATTTCATCTAGAATCCAAATCGTGAAAGCCAAAAGACTTCCGAGCACAGACCATTTCGGTTTCTCATTATATGATAGATCCGCATGTTCGAAATTATATTTGACGTATCTTATTTCGTGTTGTCGCAAGTCTATATATACATTCGTACTTGTATCTAAAATCATTGCTAATATTTGGTTGTGCGACAGCAGTGATCACATTTTCTTATGTCTTGGATGTCACAATATCTCTCAAGACACATGATTCAAGGTTTTATATGACCTACTTGTAACATTCATTACATGGCCCCTGTATTCTTTTCAACATCCTTGTTGAGTTGCCGACTTTCTACTACTCCATCTCAGAAATCAGATGGATGTGAGTGTGAGTCAGAGACTGAATAGAATCGAGTTTTACAGGTTCGGGTTCGGTTCGACTCATTTTTAGTCCCTAATAGGTATGGCATTTTCCTCTTAATTTATTCTAAACTAAAATTCTTGCTAACTTACATTTATTGAAATTTGAATTATTTAGAATATATTTCTTGATTCAATAAATTTTTGTCAATCTAAATTTATCAATCCGATTATCAAAATACATGACTTAAAAAGAACAAATCAGAAGTAAGGAGGGTGCGGGTATGGGTGTGGATTGAGAGAAGACTGATGCCCACTCACACACCCACACCCGCACTCACAATAAGTATATGAAAAGGAAAAATCCGATATGTGATAATGCAGAGGACAGGAAGGGAAAAATCCATAGGAGAGGAAAGAAAAGAAAAAGTGAACGCGTTGTGAAAGAAAGCTACAGTTAGATAGAAACATCACGAGGCGAAACGTGATCACTCCGTGACAGTAGAGTACCACAGTTTGCCCTTCATGAATCTGGTGACTATCTCCACACCTACTGCTCTCAGTCAGCTTCTTCCTCCCCTTTGGAGGTTTATGTTGAATTTTTCTAATAATTTTAAACGTGAGGGTGTGGGTATCTATTCTCTGTTCACAGCTCACAACCATACCGACACCCACACCCACACCCTCGTTTATGTTATGAAATAAGTTTTATCTTGGATGAAAAGTCCTCCTTTTAACTATTTCCTTTGGAAAATATTGTTATATAGATAAAACACCATTAAAAAATATTATTTTAAATGTTGAATTTGAATTAAAAATCAAAAGAAATAAAGATTCACTTTATTATATTTGAATTTAGAGATTCCACTCAAATAGCTAATAGATTATTTATATGTCCTACTCATTCACAATATTAAATAAATAAGCATCTCCATTATATTCCACTAAAGAAAAAATTGCTACATTTTTGTCTCATAGTCATATAACCAATTCAAAACTGGCTGTAGTAGTATAGTTTTAAATCAGTTTAAATAAAAGAATTGTTGATATGAAGGATAAATTTTAGATTCTATTAACATTTACATGAGTATACCGTATAGAAAGAACGTGAAAATGAATAATTTTGTATTTGAAAAAGTTATACTTACAATTAATATATTTTCCCCACGTTTGATCATCACCAAAAAATGGTTTACAACATAAATCAACAGTTTTATATTTATAATTTGAGGTAGTAAACATTGCTGTAATGCCCAAATAAGAGATTTTCTTGTGATCGTCTGACCAAAGATCAGGACTAACGCAAATAGCACCACTTTCAAGTGGTTCTCGAAGAATATCCTTTAATTTTAAACGATAATCATCAGCTAAATCATAAATATGATTAGATATTGTATCGGCACCACGTAAAGTACAATTGACATCAAATTCACCAAATTTTGATCCTGAAGAACAAGTACAAAAAATTCAATGAGGAAAAAAAACTTTACCTAAAACAATAAATTCTTGCAGAAGATCCTTCAATCCTAAATCTTCAATAATTTTGAACGATCTCATGTCATGGCAGATCCATGAAGAAACAAGATTTTTAACAGCATTTAATTCTTGTTCACTTAATTTAACTTTTTCATAGATTTTCATCATATCATTAGGCTTAACTTGACTGGAAGATGATGAGGATATAAATTTTGTTATATTCGTATTTGATAAATTTTTAACACATGAATGAGAAAGCATATTTCTAGTACCAGTAATTAATGTATAAGAAAATGTTTGATAACATGTTTGACAACTTGTAAAACCATCAATCTTTTGATATTCATTAGTATTTTGTATTTTTTTAGCTGGAAAACCAAACACCTTCCAACATATTGAAGATTTATTTTTCTCATTTTCAAGAACCTTATATGTCGATGGTTGTTGTTTCAATAGAAATTTAATTCGATCAGTTGTATACTGCTGCATGCATAATGATGAATTGGCAGCATTCGATGAATCACGAGTGATAATGGATATTGATGATTGAGAAGAATTTGCAGATGCAGAAGCACTATGACAATTTGAAGAAGTAATTCGTGATGATGATGGCATTGTTGATAAATGAGAAGAACTCGACGATGACATGCTGTTGCTATAAAAGTTTTTAAAAATGATAAACAATTGTCTTGTCTTATTCTTTTGTTTTACATATTCACTCATCATTGATTGCGTAAATATTGTAGCAAATAAAAGTATTAAATTCGATTTATCGAAAAAACAATGTCAGTGATAACACGCGACGTCTTTTGAAAATTTCTATCTTTTATTTAAAATATGGTCCATGGGCACCCATCAAAAAATTGGACGACCAAGTCCAGCTCATGATTTTCTATTAAAAAGATTTCGGCCCATGTGCTGGGCTGGGCCAAGCCCAGCCCATTAGGACCCCTGGCACATACAATGTAGAATATCATCATTTGCATCGATTATTCTTTCAATTCTTGCAATATTATTAATAAATTGTAAAACTTTTTAATCTTCACCACCATTGAATTTTTCTAAATTCGATAAACATTCCCGATAGCATACCATCATCGCTGAGTCTTGTACGTTGTGAGGCATTTTTTCTATATGTTGATGTGTGTGTTCAGTAGTATTAATTAATGATTCCAATGTTAGTTTCTTAATCGTACGTTCGGATGTTTCTGTTAGTAAGTCACCGTTTAATTCAGGAACAGTATCAAAACCTCGTAAATTGTAAACTGTTGCTGAAGATTGAATAATTTACTCGTGTAAACAATAACTTAATCGTAGAATGCTTTTATTGTTAACAGGTAATTCGAAATGAATTTCCTCTTTGTTCAATTTTGAAGTATTGAAATTATACAGGTCACTCCTAATTTGGAATGTCCTGGGGTAAGATTTTTATTATTGTTAATATAATAAAAATAATCGGTCACGGCACCAAATATTAGAGGTCTGATGTTCGACCTTCTTTTATTTTATTTCAAATAAAAAAAAATGTCTGCAAACACACAAGTACAGTTATACAGCTATCTGCCCTGCTGTAGAGAAAAAATATATACATATGTATATCTCGACTACCTCGATGAAGGGTCAAACTTAAGAACAAATAATAAAGAGTGATCAAGGTTATATAACATCAAGATATATCTAACAACAAGAAAGAGAAAGAAAGGAGAAAAAAAGAAATTATATAGAAAAGTAACAACAAGGAGGTGAACCCGTTAACACTATTCGCTCAGTATTTTTCATTTTTAACATTACTTTTTTCTTTAATTTTATATTTATATTATAAGAAGTATTGAATTATATGGCGAATGAAGCTATATTATATATATATAGATATGTATATATGTATATCCATTTTTAAAACCTGGTCACTAAGGTCTGTAATTTTCTCTTTCGTTGCTATGGTCTGTAAGGAGGGGTATATGTAGTATTCTCCTTCGTTGCTATGGTCTGTAAGGGGGCTGTCTGTAAGCGGAGGGGGTGGAGCCGCGAAATGTTGACCTTAAAGCGTACACTCACTATTTTTCTCGAAAATCTACGTGAGTTCCACAAAATACACTCGATTTAAAAAAGAAATGCGGAGTTTGGGTTGCTTTGAAATTACTCATTATAACCATAGCTGTATAACAGCTTTTTTGAAGATGGGAAACTAGGGGAAGGTGGAGGGATCTTGAATTATTCACCATATTCATAGCTATACACTCCCTTCTCTTGGGGTGTGAGTGTGGGTGTGAGGTATAGGTATGGTGGTGGGGGTGGGGGTGGGGGTGAATGCGGAGATGTGGGTGTGATTTGCTCGTCATACACCTACCCGCAAAGCAACATCCACATCCAGACCCCTCGCGAGCATGAGGTGTAGGGAGTGTACACCGCCCCACCCTCCCTCCAAAATCAGAAAGTTTCAGTTTTATTCCGCCACAAGAACAGATTTTAACCCCATTTTATGTTTTTTTTTTGTTCAAGTTTTTTCTGAAAATACTTCCTTACACGTCTCCCCCCCCCAATCCGCCATACACCCCACTAATATTTGATCCTTCGCGCGGATCCTACCCACACCCACCCACACCCTATACCCGCCCACACTCACACCGACATCCACACTGAAAAAAAAATTGGTACGATACCGAACCCAAAAGGGTGTGTTGGACTAAAAAAGGTTTCGTACATAGTACGGAACTCCACCATGGGGGTTCAATCCAGCGATTTCTGTGCCGGTCGGAAGTCCGAGAAAAGGAGGAGCGTTAGACGAAAGGTGCGCAGATACCGCCGTCTGTAAAAGGAAGAAGACGATAGAAATCAACCATGAACGGTCATAGTACAAAACCATACCGGCTCAGACATCGCCAGGGTAAACAAGGTCCGCGCCTTCTGTCGAGTAACCAGGGCAGAGTCGAAAAATTGGCTACTGGAAAAGCCTCAAGCATAAAATGTACAACAAAAAAAAAGTAACACAAAATGAAATTAATCAGAAACACGCTGACAATTGGCACTTGGAACGTGCAGACACTATGGACAGCTGGAAAACTAGAGCTGCTCAGAAACGAAATGAAACGTTTCAGATATGACATCATTGGTATCTCCGAAGTACGCTGGACACGAAAAGGTGAAACATCAAATAGAGATTTCATCTGGTCAGGAGATGATGTCACACACATGACAGGTGTAGGATTGCTACTAAGTACACAAGCTAAAGCAGCACTACTAGGATACAATCCAATCAGCTCACGAATAATTACGGCAAGATTCAGTGCATCACCATTTAATGTCACAGTACTACACGTATATGCACCAACTTCTTCATCATCAGAAGAGGATATAGAAGCGTTCTACAACAATATCCAGGATGTACTTGCAAAGACGCACAAAAAAGACATAGTCATCCTAACCGACGACTGGAACGCAAAAGTTGGCAGTGATAATTCAGATTAGAAGCCCGTCATCGGAAAGTACGGATATGGTGACAGAAACGAACGTGGTGGACGCCTCCTAGAATTTGCAACAACACACAGCCTCTACATTTGTACCACGAGATTTCAACAAAAGCCCAGTAGAAAGTGGACCTGGGCATCACCTGATGGCGTGCATTAAAACATGATCGATATGATTCTCATTCAACAAAGGTGGAAATCATCCGTGATCAACTGCCGAACATTTCAGAGTGCAGACATCAGCTCAGATCACTCATTAGTACTGTGTAATATTAAACTGCGACTCAAGAAAATGTACAACAGAACAAATCAAAACTATAGAGTCGACGTGAGCCAATTAACAAATGAGATAATAAAAGAATCCTACCATACTAGAGTAGCAAAGAACATGGAAAATCTTCATCCAGCATGTAATTTAGAAGAACATGCGGGAAAACTAGAAGGAGCAATCAAAGAAGCAATAGAAACAACCATATCTGCTGGAAAAACAACCAGGAAACCCTGGATCTCCGAGCAAACACTAAAACTAGCAGATGAAAAACGAAGACTGAAACAGATGAAAAGCACGTTTACAGAGCATGCACAACGATACAAAGATATGTGCAAAATAGTCAAAAAATCAGCAAGACAGGACAAAGAGAATTGGATTGAGGAACAGTGCGAGGAAGTCGAAAAGGGCCTGAAGATCGGAAATGCTAGGCAAGCATACAGCCTAATAAAAATGCTAAGAAAGAAATTCATACCTCGATTAAACGTGATAAGAAGTCAGGAGGGCGCAATACTACAACCAAAGGACGCGATTAAATAAAGATGGACACAATATTATAGTGATCTTTACAAGGATCATGGAGGAGGAGATAGGGTGGTAAAAGAACTTGAGGAGATCACACCTCCTAACAATAAAAACTCTCAAGATATCCTATACTCTGAAGTACAAGAAGCAATACGCACACTAAAAAGAAATAAAAGTCCGAGATCAGACGGGATTACAGCTGAAATGCTACAAGCTGGAGGAGAGCAGCTAGCACACCAAATTCACAAACTCTGTAACAAAGCATGGCATGTGAGTACGATCCCAGAAGAGTGGGGTAAATCGATCCTACTACCCATACCCAAGAAAGGAGATCTCAGCGAGTGCTCAAACTATCGAACAATCTCTCTCATCAGCCACACAGGTAAAGTGCTACTGATCGTGTTATTATACAGACTCAAACAACAACTGGATCCGCACCTCTCGGAAGAACAGGCAGGATTTAGGAAGGACAAAAGCACCATACACAAAATCCTGATACTCAGGCTACTAACAGAAAAAGCAAAAAGACAAGGAAGGAAGATATACAATTGCTTCATAGACTTCCAAAAAGCATTCGATACAATCAAACATAAAGTTATGTGGAGTGTGCTAAAATCATATGGTATAGAAACAAAGATGGTCGCGCTACTGCAGCAGATCTACGAAAAAGCATAATCAGCAGTCCAAATCGGAAAAGACTGCGGCGACTAGTTCCAAACAAACGTAGGAACTAGACAAGGAGATCCTCTATCACCACTCCTTTTCATCACGTATCTCGAACGTGTAATGGATCAGGTGAAACAGATCACCTGCGGAATCAACATCAGTGAAACAATCGTTAACAACCTACGAATCGCTGATGACATAGGTCTTATAGATGAAGATTGTAGCACACTTCAAAATCAAATCGATCTAATTACGAAAGCCGCCGAACAAGCAGGACTCATTGTGAATACGAAGAAAACCAAAACAATGATATTCGGAGATCGAAATATTGAACATGGAATGCAGATAGCAGGAGAGACCATAGAAAACGTTGAAAAGTTTGAATACTTAGGAAGTCTATTGACATGGGACAACAATTGTTCCGATGAAATCAAAAGAAGAATAGGTAAAGCAATAGATGCAATGACTTCTCTAAAACACATATGGAACTGCAAGAAATTGAAAGTAGACAACAAACTCAAGGTTCTGACAACATGTGTCTTCAGCGTGCTATTATACGCCTCAGAAACATGGACCCTGAAAGAGGTCGACAAAAAGAAACTACTCGCATTCGAAATAAAATGCTACCGACGGATACTAAAAATCAATTGGAAAGATATGATATCCAATAGTGATATAAGGAAAAAGATATCAAAAGATGAAACCATAATATGCAGCATCAAAAA